ACATGCTAGAACTTCAATAAGAACAAGAGTCAAAGGCAGCCAAGTGGTATGCCACAATTGATATTGCTAATGTGTTTTTTTTTTTCTCAATCCCTTTGACTACAGAGTGCAGGCCACAGTTTGCTTTCACTTGCAGGGGTGTCCAGTACACTTGGAATCAACTGCCCCAGGGGTAGAAATACAACGAGCTTGATTAGGAAACTCCAGTCCCCCAAGAATTTTGGAAGCAATCATGCACTGGCCCAAAGGCAACGATTTTAGAATATCACCAGAGGAGGGGATCACATGTACTGACTAGCCTCACTGTATTATGATCTACCTGAAATGGAGAAGCAATATGCCTTGTTCACTGATGGTTCCTGTCATCCTGTGGGAGTTAGAAAGCTGCTGTATGAAGGCCTACACAAGTTGCAGAAACTGCTGAAGAAGATGAATCAAGCCAATTTGCAAGATCGAAGGCCATCCAGCTGACTTTAGATATTGCTGAATGAGAAAGGTGGCCATTTCTCTATCTCTATACTGACTGGTGGATGATGACAAATGACCTGTGTGGGTGGCTGCAGCAATGGAAACAAGTAGCATCAGAGGCAAACTCATCTGGGGCACTACATTGTGACAAGATATTGATGTCTAGGTAAAGAATGTGGTGTTAAAATGTCATGGTATGGCCTGGTTTGGCCTATTTCCATGACAAAGGGGGTGAAGGGACCAAGAACCCATGCTCCAGGAAAAAGGGGAAGGGGGAAGGCAAAAAGGCTAAACATAAAAGTGGAATGTAAGATAATAAAATACAATATGATTGGAATTGAAGCTAATAAATAAAATGAGAGAGAATTTCCAAAACTGAAGTCCTTATTCTAATGCTGTAGATGTGACGGCCAGGAGCACACAGAGCAAAGACATAGTCTTGTGACTCTCAGTCAGTTTTATCTTTCCCTCCAAACAGAAAATGGAAACAGCACAATGAAATCTTCTGGGAGTTGCAGTTCATTCTTCTCTTCTGAGACCAAGAGACCAGAACTATCAACAGTCCACAGAACTGCAGCATTAATTCTCAGTACACTACATGATGTTATGATGTGGAATACTGATCAAAAATCATAAAACCATGACAGTGGATAAGGGAAGAGCCACTGAAGTCATCTATCTGTACTTCAGTAAGGCCTTTGACATGGTCTCCCACAACAGATATAGATTTGATGGATTGACTGTTCAATGGACAAGGAACTGGTTATGAAATCATAGCCAGAGAATAGTTGTCAGTGTCTCAGTGTCCGGATGGAAATCAGTGACAAGTGGGATCAACAGTGGGATTGAGTGTACCCTCAGCAAGTTTGCGGATAGCACCAAGCTCTGTGGTGTAGTCAACAGACCTGAGGGATGGGATGCCATTCAGAAGGACCTAGACAGACTCGAGCAGTGGGCCTAGGAGAACCTCATAAGGTTCAGCAAAGCCAAGTGCAAGATCCTGCACCTGAGTCACAGCAAACCCCAATATGAATAGAAGCCAGAGGATGAAAAGATAGAGCATAACCCTGCCAAAGAGGACCTGGGGGTACTGGTCAATGGTAAGCTGGACATGAGCCAGCAGCGTGCTCTCGTAGCTCAGAAAGCCAACCATATCTCAGGCTGTATCAAAAGAGATCCTGCCCCTCTACTCTGCACAGGTGAGACCTCACCTGGAATATTGTGTCCAGATTTGAAGTCCTCAGCGCAGGAGAGACATGAACCTGTTGGAGGGCATCCAGAGAAGGGCCACAAAAATGATCCAAGGAATGGAACACCTCCCCTATGAGGACAGGCTGAGAGAGCTGGGGCTGTTCAGTCTGGAGAAGAGAAGGCTCCAGGGAGATCTGATAGCAGCCTTCCAGTATATAAAGGGGGGCTGTAAGAAAGAAGAGGACAGACTGTTTAGCAGAATCTGTTGTGATAGGACAAGGGAAAATGGTTTCAAACTAAAAGAGGGGAGATTTAGATTGGATATAAGGATAAAAAAATTTACAGTGAGAGTAGTGAGGCACTGGAACAGGTTGCCCAGAGAGGTGGTGGATGCCCCATTATTTCAGACATTGAAGGAAAGACTGGACCAGGCTCAGGGCAACCTGATTCAGCTGTAGATGTCCCCATTCATTGCAGGAGAGTAGGAATAGATGACCTTTAAAGGTCCATTACAACTCAAATGATTCTACAATTCTACGATATGACATTATACCAAACAATAAAAACTCAAGAGAGTTCTCCTGGAGGTGCTGCTGTTGCTTGGGAATTGGCTGGGCATTGATCAGTTCATGGTGAGCAATTGGGTTGTGTATCATTTGTTTTGTGTATTCTTTTTCCTGCTACTGTGTTGGGTTTTTTTCCTTTCCCTTTTCCTTTTTGTCACGAAATTATCTAGATCTATCTGTGTCTGTGACAGGGGGACAGCAGAATCCAGAATCCAAGGGGTCAGCCTTGGGTCTCTCCTGAGGCTCTTTGCCACAGACTCCAAGTGGCACCTTTGTCACCAGCAACAGTGTAAAGGATGTTCTTTACATCCTGTCCCATCCGCAATGGCCTCAGGGCCATGGTTCGAGCTATCTCCTGCTTAATTTTCTCATAAGCCTGCTGCTGCTCAGGGCCCCATGTAAAATTTTTCTTCTTCCACATCACCTGATAAAGGGGGCTTACAATGAGGATGTAGTTTGTAACATGCATTCTCCAAAAACCTACTACGCCCAGAAACGATTGTGTCTCTTTCTTATTAGTGGGCGGAGACATGGCAGTGATTTTGTCAGTCACATCTGTCAGGATGTGACGACGCCCATCTTGCCACTTTATACGTAGAAAATGAATTTCCTGTGCAGGTCCTTTTACTTTGTTTCACTTAATAGCAAAACCAGCTTGCAGTAGAATTTGGATTATTTGGGGTGTCAATGGTTTACAGGCCGGTTCAGTCCGGTTCTGCAACTAATGAGGCATGGGACCCATGGATCCCGTGGACCCATTTCACGCCCCTGGAAAGGGGATAGGGAAAGGGGGAAGGGTAGGGTGATGGCTGATGGGCCTAGAAACAACAGCAGCAACAATCTGAGGAGGAAAGTTAATTTATTAAATATGATATCGGAATGCAAGATAACACAATATAGTACAATATATAATTGGAACTGAGGCTAATAAATTAAATAAAATGAGATAGTGTCCAAAATTGAAGGCCTTACTCTGAATTGAAGGCAAAACGGCTGGGAAGCACACCCACACACTGCCAGGCAGCGAGAAAGAACGAGGCCCGTGACTTGCCAGGAGCTTTATCTTCCCTTTGAACGCAAAGTCCTCTGGGGTATGTAGTTCTTCTCTTCTGAGAATCAGGTGTTCGGAAAATCGGCTGTACATGGAAGTGGGGCATTAACTCTTTAACTCCCAGTGCTTTACATGATGTTATGATGTGGAATACTGATAACAAAAATCATAAAACCATTACACTTTTCCTTTTCCTATTGGAAGGTATACTGATAGGTATTCCTTGCTGCCAGTTAGAAACCTACATTTTCTTTCTTAGCACGTGTATAGATGCAAAAATAAGTAGATTTTATTTGGCAATTTATTAGTTAGAAAATTATTTATTGCAATATGAACCAATACAAATGAAAATGAATAGCTGTTCAGAGGTACTGCCTTCTGACAAAGAAAATCTTGAACTGTTAGTCTATCTAGGTGCTATTTCACTTGTAACTGTGTTTATAATGATTTTTCCTTCTCTAAGGCATTTAAAAAGTTTGTTATCAGTTTAAACTTAGTTGTGTAGTCTTTTTCCATTAATGAATGAAGCTTTTTCAACTTCATTATTATTTAAGACTGATTATGAGATTTTACTGGTGTGATTGCAGTTTGTCTCTTTTGGAACTTAATCATCTGTAGACTGCTCTGTGAGCTTTCATTGTTCATGGAGACATTTTTCTTTGGTCATTGTCACTAACCTAAGGATGGATGTCGTTTTCTGCAAATGTTTTTTCATTTTTTAGCTGTTGCTTTTAAACATGCTAATTCTGTATATTTTACTGACAGTTAAATTTAGTGCATTGTAACCAGTATTTAATCCAGAAATTTATTTTAGAATTAGCTAACATTCTTGAAAATGTTAATTAGGCAACCTTCAAAATATCATGTTAGGAATGAGTATGTATATCATAACATGCTAAAATAAATATAATATACATTTATTACCAATATACTGTTGCAATGCTCGTGTTTTTTCCACTTGTATTCAAAGCTGTCAGTTAGTTTTATTTTATTTATATATATATACTTTTTTAAACTGAGTAGAATAAAACTTGTGTAATGTTTCAGTGGTTTGAAATTGTGAAATAGCTTTGATGACTGTTTATCTGAAAAACTGATATTCACCAGTGAAAATCTTTCCATGGAAGTTGTGTTAAAAAAAAAAAAAACTGCAGAAATGCAAAAAGTATATTTAATCTATTTTCTGCTTTAAGGAGTATCGCTTATACTGATTTTACCTTGGTGTATCATTTTTCTTGTGCTGTACTAAATAGAAATGTTAGAAGAATATTGTTGCTGCCATGTATCTTTAAAAACAGTCAAAGGTGCCTAGAAGTGAAATTTCCTTCAGGTGACAGAACAGGTTAGGGAAAACAAATGCCTTGAAGAATTTGTAAGCCACCACTAATATTTCCACTGACTTCTCCCTCCTAGGGTAAGGGAAATATATTTAGTGTGCTGCAGAAAGGAATGAATTAGCAGTCATAATATTGTCAGGTAACATTGCTCTTTGAGACCTGATTTAGGGTTTTAACAAATGAGTTTTGATGTTCATTGTTACAGCAGCTGAAATAGTTCTTTTGGCTTAAGCAAACAAGGTTTAGAAACTACTATTATGAAAGCAACTTTATGCAAAATGTTGAAAGTGTTTCACTAATTTTCAGTGTGTATTTTTTTCTTTTTCCAGTACAGAGTAGAATTTTGAGTATGTCCTTGTTTAATATTATGTTTCTATCTGTGTACAGAAAGCATAGAAACAATGTGGGACCAAGCAAACCTATTTCTCAGCCACGAAGAAACATTGTAGGCTGCAGAATACAGCATGGCTGGAAGGAAGGAAGTGGACCCATAACACAATGGAAGGGCACAGTTCTTGATCAAGTTCCTGTAAATCCTTCTCTCTATCTTATAAAGTATGATGGATTCGATTGTGTGTATGGACTAGAACTGCACAAAGATGAAAGGGTTTCAGCACTTGAAGTCCTTCCAGACAGAGTTGGTAAGAGTTTTTTTCCTATATATGTTGCCATTTAATAGTTAATGCTCTCCACTAATCTCTCCTGATTTTCCCCCAAGATAATATCAGAACATTTGGATTTTATTAAATCACTTTTTGTCACATTGCAAATAATACAAATTTTCACACTATAAAGTTCAAAGTTTACCCTATTAATTACTTATTTCTAAATGGAATAAGATCTTGCTTTTCTGCAGAGATCAGTAGCAGTCTCTAGAATGGGGTTAGGGAGGACCAAACTCAACACTTTTATTGATAATTTTATAGAGCTGTTTTATATTGGCCTCTCTTCCTTCCTTCTCCCTTACAATACAAATATTGAAAATGCAAACATTATTCATTGCTATGGCCTATACTGCTCTCTCTTTACCTTGCATTATGATATTTTGATGAACAGTGGTGATAAGAGTGTTAATATGTCAAAATAATTCTTAAAGTTCTGCAGATTTATTATCTTCAGCTCTCTGGAATGGACACTATTTGTTATGCATGTGAATTGACTAACTTCCAAACAAATTTATTTGTGAATTTGGATAAATATTATTTTTGATGAAGACTCGCATCTGTATTTTTTAATTAACTTACTTATGAACTGCTGTCATTTCAGCTTCATCTCGAATTAGTGATGCCCACCTGGCAGACACAATGATAGGCAAAGCTGTGGAACATATGTTTGAGACAGAGGATGGCTCAAAAGATGAATGGAGGGGGATGATCTTGGCTCGAGCTCCTATTATGAACACATGGTTTTATATTACCTATGAGAAAGATCCTGTCTTGTACATGTACCAACTCTTAGATGATTATAAAGAAGGTGACCTTCGCATTATGCCTGATTCCAGTAAGTTGACTGGTTACTTTTTTCTTCTGGAAAGTGGTATCTCTCTTTGTATTCTTGTTTGGCTTATGTTTTATTTATGGAAAAAGAGAGCTGACAAACAAGGGCCTTGATTGTTATTCCCTTTTATATATATATATATTTATTTAATATTGTACTCTCCCTTCACTTAATAAGCACTTCTCAGAGAGACGATTTTGTCTTTAAAATAAATTATTAATTAGATAATTAGTGCTATGCAATCATAGAATCATAGAATAGCTTGAGTTGGAAGAGACTTTAATGATCATCTAATTCCAACCTCCCTGCCATGGACAGAGATGCCACCCACTAGATCAGGTTGCCCAGGGCCCCATCCAACCTGGTCTTGATCACCTCCAGGGATGGGACATCCACACCTTCTCTGGGCAGCCTGTTCCAGTGCCTCACCACCCAGTGAGTAAAGAATTTGTTCCTAACATCTGATCTAAATCTCCCCTACTCCTCACAGGAGTAGAGTAGAAGAGAACAATCACCTCCCTCACCCTGCTGGCCACCACTCTTTTCAGTCCAGGATACAGTTGGCCTTCTGGGCTGCAAATGCACACTGCTGGCTTCTGTCAAGCTTTTCATCCACCAGAACCCCCATGTCCTTCTCTGCAGAGCTGCTCTCCATGAATTCTTCTCCCAGTTTGTATTCGTGTCTGGGACTGTCCTGATCAGCTGCAGCACCTTTCACTTGGCCTTGTTGAACCTCATTCTGTTCACATAGGCCCAATTTTCAAGCTTGTCTAGGTCCCTCTGAATGGCATCCCTTCCTTCTGTTGTATCAACTGCACCACTCAGTCTGGTGTCATCTGCAAACTTGATGAGAGCGCACTTGATACCACTGTCCATTTCACCAACTCAGATGGTAAACAGTACTGGTCCCAATACAGACCCCTGAGGGACGCCATTTATAACCAGCCTCCACCTGAACATAAAGATGCTGACCACAACTCTCCAATTTAGAGATAAGGATGATATGTGGGACCATGTTGAAGGCCTTACAGAAGTCCAGGTAGATAACATCATGTCAGGGTTTTGTGTTTTTTGGTTTTCAGTATTCCACATCATAACATCATGTAGTGCACTGGGAGTTAAAGTGTTAATGTTCCAATTCTGGGTACCTATCCCTATACATTAGGGAAGTCATGGGATATGGCCCTTCTGGGTGGGGCGGTCTCTTACTGCCTGGCAGTGGGTGCTGGAGGGTGCTTTCCTAGCCGTTCCAAGCTTTGCAGGTTTGACTCGGTCTCAGGAACTCTCTCTCACTTATTTTATTTGATTTATTAGTCTCAATTTCAATTAGATTGTATTATATTGTGTTATCTTGCATTCCGATATCATAGTTAGTAAAATAAGTTTTCCTCCATAGATAGTTGCCGCTGTTTTTTTTCCCTTCCTTGAGCCCGGCTTCCATCTCCCTATCCCTATTCCCTTTCCCTTCCCATTTTGTGGGGCAGGGGGGCCCAGGGGCCTACTGGCCCCCTGTCACAGGCATAGATTGATCTAGTTAACTCTGAGACAGTTTTTGCTGGAGAATGCGGGCATTAGCTGCTTTTTAGCTTTTAGAACGTATCTCTCTCTCTGCTCTCAGAGAGCTTCGTTAGGGAACTTTATCAGTAGTTCAGGTTTCTGTGCTGGAAAACTTGACCTTGAAAGCCAAGACATACTGCCAGTATTCTGGGATATTTGTAAACTTTGAGCACTGCTTAGTCTGGGCACTGCTTTTTCTTTTTCTTTTTTTATTTTTCCTCCTCTTGTCAGCTTCCATTCATTTACCCCTTTTTAGAAGCTACCAGTGATGAACCCACTCTTTATCGTGGGGGCACTGTCTAAGGGATTAAAAGCCATTATGTTCCTCGCAACATACTGGCCAATTATCAATGTCGTGATTTCTTGTTGTGGAATTGTGTTCGTATATAACCAAATAAGGGCACTGACGGAGACACCTGCATGGTACTTATATGCTATGTGGCATGATTTGAATCTTGACACATCCCAAATGGAATAGCTAATTTTGCAAACAACACTATGTTCAGACTGGTTTCCAGGCTTTCTTCTCAGTTTGTCACTAGTTTTTCGAATGCCGAATTAATGCTCTTTTTAGTGGGCATACTCCTGTGCATGATATTGATTTCCCTGAATGTATTCCTATGCATTCATGGTATGTGGAAGGAGTCTCCTCCAAAACCAGAGAATGCTGACTGGCAGGGAATATGGAGAGGTTTAGGAAAAATCTTAGAAGCATGGGGACCCGCAATGTCATGGGATTTCACTCTTGAACACCTGTGGGATCCTGAGAAACTAAGCCAGTATTTGAGTCAGGGACGGTGCGGCTTACATAAATCTAAGGAGGTACAACTTATTTGGGGTTTGGCTTGTGCTTACCATGCCCTATATAGTACTATTCTGGAGAGAGAGAGTTTCCGAGCTGAGGTTCAAGCCAAAGGGGAAAATCTCCAAGTCAAATCTGATCAATCGCAGGAGACACCAGTAACAATATCAGCTGCCCCTGTGGAAGGCCAGAAATGGAAACGAGTGTCCTCGCATCTAGAATGGAAAAAAGAAGAAGCGGAGGAGGAGGTAAAGGAAGATCCAGGTGAGGGTCCCTCCACAGAACCACCATCATCAGGGAAAGCAAAAGAAAAGCTAAGAGACATGCAGAAGAGAGTGATGAAGAGGAAGTCTATTACTTCTCACTGGCCTCTGAAGATGACTGAAATCCAAGGCTCAAGAAAGGAGTTTACATGGCGCCCAAATGAAACTCTCGTTTCCTGGTTGCTTTGCTGTTGGGACAGCGGGGCCAGTAGACTGTCTCTAGATGGTAATGAAGCTCGCCAACTACGAGGCATTGCCAGTGATCCAGCTATTGACAGAGGGATTAGTAGATGTTTGGATGGGGCTGCCACCCTCTGGGAATGAGTGTTAATAGCCGTGAAGGAAAGGTATCCCTTCAAAGACGGCTTGAAGCCTGTGATGAAAAAGTGGGATACAGTTGAAAAGGGTATCCAGTATTTGAGGGAAATAGCTGTGGTGGAAATGTTGTATGACCCTAACTTTGTCCCTAACCATCCACACCAAGACCACGACCCTGAGAGAGTGAGGACGCCTGAAGTATGGCAGAAACTCACAACAACAGCACCAGACAGATACGCTGGTACACTAGCAGCAACGTTTGACAGGTACCAGGACCAAAAGAGAAGACCCTTAGTTTTCGAATTGATTCTTACGCTCCAAAGCTATGAACAACAGCGACCCCCAAGTCGCGCTTCCATTTCAGCCATCTCAAAAGTAACGGACCAACTGAATGAACTGCGAGAGCAAGTCTCTCTACTGATTAAACGTAACAAACCTGTAGTAGTATCAGAAACGCTTGATGAAGATCAGGATAATCAAAAGAGTCTAATGAAGGAGCTGATCAAACTACTGCAAATCCAACTAATTAAAGATGATGAACCCTCCTTCTCAGGTGCACCATCAAGAATCTCAGCTGTGAGAGGCAAACGCTTTCCGGCTCCAGTAAGGAATTGCAAATTGTCTTGTGGCGTTGCCTAAGTGACCATGGAGAAGATTTGAGGAAGTGGCATGACCAAGCTACTCCTGTACTACGAGCACAGGTGAGAGAATTACAAAACAGATTTATCACCAGTGCAGTTGCTCCAGTTACCACAGGCAATGAATAGAGAGGCCCTGCCCTCAATCGGGGGGCGAAAGGGATAATAGAGTTGATTGGATTGTGTGGATTTGATGGCCTGACACATCAGAACCACAGAAATATAAGGCACTGGTGGATACCGGTGCACAGTGCACTCTGATGCCCTCGAGTCATGAAGGGACAGAATCAATCCATATTTCTGGAGTGACTGAGGGCTCTCAAGAATTGACTGTGTTGGAGGCCGAGATAAGCCTCACTGGTAAAGACTGGCAAAAGCACCCTATTGTGAGTGGCCCAGGGGCTCCATGTATACTAGGTATCGATTACCTCAGAAGGGGGCATTTCAAGGATCCCAAGGAGTATCGATGGGCCTTTGGAATAGCTGCTGTAGATGCAGACAGCATTAAGCAGCTGTCTGTTTTGCCTGGCCTGTCAGAAGATCCGTCTGTTGTGGGGTTGCTACGAGTAAAAGAGCAGCAGGTACCAATTGCCACAAAAACAGTGCACAGATGACAGTACCGCACCAATATGGATTCCTTGTTCCCCATTCATAAGTTGATTTGTCAACTAGAGAGTCAAGGAGTGATCAGCAAAACTCACTCGCCTTTTAACAGCCCCATATGGCCAGTGCGTAAAGCCAGTGGAGAATGGAGGCTGACGGCGGACTACCGTGGCCTGATCTAGTCACACCCCCACTGAGTGCTGCTGTGCCGGACATGTTAGAACTCCAGCATGAAATGGAATCAAAAGCAGCCAAGTGTTATGCCAACACTGATGTTGCTATCACCTTCTTTTCCTTTCCTTTGGTCACAGAATGGAGGCCACAGTTTGCCTTCACCTGGAGGGGTGTTCAGTATACTTGGAACCGTTTGGCCCAGGGGTAGAAACATAGCCCAACCATTTGCCATGGGTAGATCCAAAATGTATTGGAACAGGGCAGTGCTCCTGAGCACCTGCAGTACGTTGATGTTATTATTATGTGGGGCGATGCAGCAGCAAAAGTCTTCATGAAAGGAGAGTGAATAATCCAAATTCTTCTGTGTGCTAGTTTTGCTATTAAGCGAAGCAAAGTGAAGGGACCTGCCCAGGAGATTCAGTTCCTAGGTATTAAGTGGCAAGATGGGTGTCATCACTTTCCAGCAGATGTGATTGACAAAATCACTGCTATATCTCCACCCACTAGCAAGAGAGAGACAGTCTTTTCTGGGCATAGTGGGCTTTTGGAGAATTTATGTTCCAAACTGTAGCCTCACTGTAAGCCCCCTTTATCAGGTGACACGAATGAAGAATGACTTTACATGGGGCCCTATGCAATAGCAAGCTT